CCCCCGCCCCCCCCCCCCCCCCCCGCACAAAGGCTAAGAAATATGCATTTATTATATCCATAATGATGCCCTCCATGTGTATGTGGGTTGAGGATCAGAAGTCACAGCAATAATCCCAACTCTAAACCTTTCCAGATTTATTTTAGTTTTTTTTCCCTTATATCACTGATGCCACCGCATAAGACTCACGTATCTTCCCACTTCTAGCACGTGACACTCACTGGGCACTGCCCCAGAGCCCATCCTCACTTCATACAGCTCACACCAAGTTACAAGAAGAGAGAGCTGGCTCTTAATTTTTCCTTCTCCCTGGTGGTTTGTTTTAATCTGCTCCTCTTAATCTTTTTTTTCTAGTTACCTGAAAGTTGTGCAGTACTTTCAAAATCCACTTCCATGCATTTTAGCTGGTCTGACAATACGAAGGGTAGCCTATGACCTTTTAATATAATTATGACTAAAACTGAGTAGCAAAGGTGACTATATTATTTTTCAGTTCTGGGTGATATTTATGTGAGCATTTCTATTACTCTAACACTTCCTGGTGAGGCTGGGAGGCAAGGAACTGGTTGTGACGTCACAAAGGAAACAGCTGTCTTGGCAGCTGTCTCCTGTCTGTGAGAATGCTCCTGCACAGGAAACATCCTTGATGCCGCAACTTTGGTTTTTCCTGATCTATCGGGAATTAAAGCACCAGGCACTTTCCCAACTGTCCCTCTGGTGCAGTGAAAAAGCACCTGTAAACAGGAGCTTGTCACAACTCCAACTTCATGCAATCCTTTATTTACATTGTGGTTTTGACAGCCCTTTTCTAAAATATCACAGGGAAATTTATAAAAGAGATCAGGCGCATGATTTTGGAGGTAAGTGGGTCACTTCACCCCTATGAATATGAAATGTGTTCCACAAATATTGATAAAACCTTGTAAAAACCCCAGTATATAATCCAGTGGGCTAACTACTCCTTGCTCTGTCAGCCCACTCACCCCAATCTCTCTGGGGTGCTAAATTTGTACTTAACTGTCTGTGTCAGAGCTGAATTATTTAAATAAAAAAAAAAACAAGGACCAAGGAGAAATGATCTTTGGTAAGAGACCAAAGTATGAAATGTAGGAGAGTGAGGTTTACCCATACTTAAAGTAATTTTCAGTGTGGTAAGATTTGGAGATCAGAAGAACCTTTCTCCTCCCAGTTAGATGTAATCCAGGGACTTGGGTTCCAGCTACTCAACAGCCAGCAAAAGTTAACTCAAGACTGTGGCTCTTGAGTTCTCTCACAATGATGATTAAACATGCAAGGTGAAAGCAATCTTTCTTGGGAGAAGTCAAAGGAAAGTGAGACACCAGGGAAGAAGTTCCCAAGAGCTGATTGGGTGTCTAGGGCATTTTTGTAAGATTAGAGCTGAAACTGGACAAAGACTGGGAATCCTAGCCAGGCTGGCAGCACACAGCTTTAATTCTAATACTTGGGAGGTACAGGCACATGGATTTCTGAGTTCAAGGCCAGCCTGGTCTGCAGAACAAGGGACAGCTACAGATACATAGAGAAACCCTGTCTAAAAACCAGAATCCTATTGTGATTGGTTGTTTCTCTGCACATATCTGGGCCAATCAGAGGTTTACATACTCTTGTGCACATTCTTCTGGCCCACTCAGGAGAGTGGTCACACTTTGAAGCCCCTCTGTTCATCTCTGATTTGCTTTGAGCTTGGCTAGTCTGTTGGCCATCTTCCTGGCAGTGCTGCCAGCTCTTCCAATCCTGCAGGTGTTGCTGGTCCAACCAGGGTGGGTCTGGAAATGCTCACCAGCTCTCAGCTCTCATGTATTTCAGTAGAGTGGGGAGTGATCCCTATGGCATTACCACGACACAGCCGCAGTCCTTTTTGATTGTCCCGCACTAGCTCCTTGTCTATGGGTGTCCTCGGGAGGTTTCTTGTTAGAAGCTGCCCTCTAAGTTGTCTGTTACATTTAGCCACATAAAAAGTTTGAAAGCACTGTGCCTTGTCTATGTCTTCCAGGGCTTCATGGGGCTGGCCAGCCAACTTGCAAATATCAACTTTATTTCCAGATGTAGAGTAAAAGGGGGCAAAGAAAAAAAAATGCCCTGACTTGACCCCCTAGGACTTAAGTCCCACCAATCCCTGAGCTTGCCCCAGAATCAAGCTACAAAACTCCAATCCCAAGCCACCCTGGAACGCTTTCCTCCTCCCCTGACCAAGAAACCCTACATAAGGTCTGCACCGTGAAGTCTGCTGCTGTTCCTTACCCGAGGCAGCCATCCTCATGGATTCTTCCTTCCCAATGAATCTCGAGTGAGGTCTGTTGGGCAGTGCTACATTTTTGTGGGAGCCTAGCTTTTTGCCAGAGCAGATAAGAACAGAACTGTAACAGTTCTGTGGGGAAACTTTTCCCTAGCAGAGCTGTGATCTCACTAGACCTGAGCAGAGCTGTAACACTTCTCTGGCATTTAAGATGTTCTAATAATATAATAATTATGGCAATGAGATGTCTGCTCCTGGCAGCACCAATCTACTTTAGAGAAGATGATGGGTGTCAAAGAAACTCCATATGGAGTTTGCTTTCTTTGTGGCAAAAGTAAGCCACTGGGTAAGAAAGTGTCCTTGCCTTGACTGCTGACTGTATGCTGTCCAAATTGGGACAAGCAGGACACAAAAGAAAGCAACTGCTGAACTTTGCCATGACAAGGCAGGTTCCTACTTCACAAAAATGTCTGTCAGATATTCTAGGTCTGCAGGCTTTAGATGGATGCCCCAACGTTACAGAGGAACCTTGGCTACTGTCCAAGCAGTCATCTGTCTGCCATTTCTTAGATCTGGAAGTTGCTTGCTCTGTACTTCCTGTTTACTCAGGTGTATACTTCTTGGGTCTCTGATGGAGTCGAAGACGTTAGTTATAGTTTTCCTTGTTACCAAATTCAAAAAAAGAAACTTACAAAAGAGGTGTAAAGTATATAAAGTTGAGAGACATAATAGTTTTGTGCTGTAATACAAGTTAGGATAAAAGAAAAATTAGGCCCAAAACTTGGGACTCACCAAGACAGGATAGATAATGGAGTATTTTCTCTGAATTTGCCAAATGCAAATGGACTGAACATTGTGAATGTACTTCTTACTTGATAATTATTCTTATTGTATAAAATTTTACTATGTTAGAGTTAAACACTCCCCCCCCCCCCCCCGTTTTTCAAGACAAGGTTTCTCTATATCTTTGGGCCTGCCCAAGCCTGTCCTGGAACTAGCTCTTGTAAGACCAGGCTGGCCTCGAACTCAGAGAGATCTACCTCTGCCTCCAGAGTGCTGGGATTAAAGGTATGCACCACCACCATCTGGCTAAAAAATTCTTCTAAAGGAGAGGATTGACCCCTGAAGCTGTCCTCTGACCACACATAATCCGTGGAATCCGTGGCAGGAAACACGGGCACACCCTAACAACCAACAATGAAAAAACACACATTTCAGAATGAGTAGACTCATGAAACATCTGTAAACAAGAATAAATTTAATTTCTTTTAAAGATTTAATGATATACAAAACGTATATGGTATAGTATCTTTAAGTAATACACTTTTTCTCTCCACATCAACATTAAACACTATTAAACAGCTTATCTCTGCTTGCCTTGTCTGTATCTATGAGATACACTATTGAATACAAATAAGCTTTACACTGCTCCCTTCCAAATAAAAATTAAAATTAGTACCTAGGAAATGAAAAGAAAGAGAAAGCATAAAACTTGAGTCAAATGATAAGTTTTTCTTGTTGAATATGTAAAAATATCTGGGCAATTAAGTTACATTTTATTGGCATAAAGTTGGACTGTGATCTCCTTATATTGTATAAGGATACTCCAACAACTGATTTCTTAAATAAGTACCAAAAACAGAATTCACATTGACACATTCCTACACAATTTTAAATGTGAGAGCTCACACAGCACTCTGATTGGATACACTAAGTCAGTAAGTCTTTGGAGATGTATGCAACTACAGGTTATTTTAACTGTGACCTTCCTCACAGGAAACACCCGCTCAACAGTGAGTTAGTTCTCATTTACCATGGCTTTCTTTTTACTTAACATTGATAAAATAATGTAAAAGACCCTTTTGCACAATTCAGGTTTTGTTTAACAAGAAACTGGCTGTATCCATAAACAGAATCTAAAGTAGATTCTTAAATAAAATCCCTCTTAGGAAAAGGTCTTCATGAGGCCCCGGATTTGATACTCAATACTAAAGGAAAGTAGGGAGGGAGGGAAGACGTGGTTTTAGTGCAGGCTTTTACAGATGCCTGTGAAGCTGGAATAGCAAGGAGTTGTTTTTCCCGTGGCCACAAATCTAGTTGAAAGCTAGCATCTTTATCATGCAGCACACCAAACTGAGGAAGACTCTGCCACTTAACCAAAAAGCTGTGTGATTCAGTTTCCTTAGCTGAATGTCTGTAACTGAGCAGCCAATAAAATTCAAAGACACTCGACTTTGGTTAATGATACTGCACCAAGTGACAGGGAATCACCACCCTTGACAGAGCCAAGTTTCCGATTCCCCGCTGTAAGAGCCCTTCACAAGTTGAAAGCATTAACTTCTACCACTGCTAACGGCTCAGCTGTCATTTGTATCGAGGTGCTTTCCAATGAGAACACTAACCTCTAGACTATGTGTGGGGCCAGCAAGCTCAATTTGCACACACATTTTTGTGTCATCAATTCCCTCCTGAAGGAAAAACGACAGTCACACTTTTGTGAAGTGTAGGCAAAAAAATCAGAATTATAACATCAGACGAACAGAATTTGTTGCTTCTGATTCTTTGGTGGAATTTCCAGACTGAAGATTCAGATCTGCTGACTCTTCCTGAGGAAATATAATCTTATCAGGCGTATAGTCGTTCCTCTTCAGATCTACAGTCACAATCCCAGAAGGGGAAGTTAGTATGTTTATAAATAAAAAATTAACAACATTTTCTACATTATTTTTCCTCCAAACATGTCAGAACTATTTCCTTAAATCTTAAACTTAATAGTCATACATTTCTATACAATTATTACATGAGGATCACAAATCAGTAAACTGTGGAAGTATGACATTATAGCAACGAACCCAGTACAAGGTGCTTGCTTTCGTTATCACTGAAGTGTGACAGTACAGAACAATGATGAACACAGTACACAAGGCCTTGCTTTTGTGACGCTTAAGAGGTCAAAGTCTTATACCAGAAAACCTCCCATGCTCATGGACTGTTAGGGAAAGATTGTGAAAATGGCTATCCTACCAAAAGCTACCTACAGATTCAATGGAATCTCCATCAAAATTCAATGACCAATTTGAAATTGATCATGGAGTTCAACTTAAGACCTGATGCCCTGAATCAGATACAGGACAGACCTTGGAATAGGCTTCAATTCATTGGCACAGCACAGGACTTTCTAAACAGGACCCAAAACAGGATTTCATGAAACCAAAAAGTTTCTGTACAGTAGATAAACCACCATCATTTGAGTGAAGAGGCAGCCTACAGAATGGGAATTATCTTTTTAATAGTTGACATCTGACAGAGGGTTGGTATCTTAAATACATACACACAAAAATTAAATACCAAGACACATACAATGCACTGTAGAAAAAGAGATAAGACTTTAAGAGCCAGAGGAGGTGGATGGACACAAGAAAACGGTATCTTTCAGACACAAAAGTGTAGCTGCATGTAAGAACTCACAGGTTTCAACAGCATGCACAAGCCCCATGCAGACCAATGTCAACGGGGAGGGGGGGGGGCGGTTGGTGGTAGACATCAAGTTCTACCCAGTCAAGGAACTATCTGGGAGAGAGACAGTCAATTTTCTTTTAAAAAGAAAATGCTGTTCCTGGGCTGTAGAGATGGCTCAGTTGGAAGAATACTTGTCACATAAGCATGAGGACCTGAGCTCTAATCTCAGAACCCACATAAAGAAAAAAGTAAGTCAGAAGTAGCTAGGTGGGAAGCAGAGGCAGGCGGATCTCTATTTCAGAGCAAGCCTGGTCTACACAGCAAGTTCTAGGACAGCCAAGGCCACAAGTGAGAACCTGACTCCAGTAGATAGATAGATAGATAGATAGATAGATAGATAGATAGATAGATAGATAGATAGATAGAGATAGATAGAGAGATAGATAGATAGAGATAGATAGATAGATAGATAGATAGATAGATAGATAGAGATAGATAGATAGATAGATAGATAGATAGATAGATAGATAGATAGATAGAAGCCACACTCCAGTGGAAGGGGATATCAGGGATATATGGGGAGCACGAATGGACTTAGTGGGTTAAAGAAAAAGAGGACACAGAGGCAAGAAGGGAGGGGGTGAGTATGATCAAAAGCCATGGTGTGGAACTCTCACAGAACAAGAAACCCCCTTACTTTTGCGAGAGGGTTTATGTAGTCTTTGTTAACCTGAAATTCTCTGTGTAGCCCAGGCTGGCCTTGATCTTGGAGATCCACCAGGCTCTTTCCCAAATGGTGGGATTCAAGGTGTGCATAACTATGCCCACCAAAAAAACATTCTTAAGAAACAGAAATTTTCTCAATCTAATCAAAGTGCAAAATCTTTTAAAAAAATTAAAACTCTTTTATCTCTCTTAAATTTTATTTTTAAGGAAAATAAAAATTATTTTCTCCCTTCCTCTAAACCTTGCTTACTTTTGTATGTGTACAAGTGTTTTGCTTGCATGTATGTATGTGCATTACATGTGTGTCTGGTGCCCTGCCCTTGGAGACCAGAAGAGGGATCCAAATCCTCTGGAACTGGAGTTATGGATAGCTATAAGCTTATATGTGTCAGTGTTGAGAACTGAATCTGGGCCTTCTCTCTGCAAGACTCAAAGTCTTACTGCTGACAACCTCTTTAACCCCACTTAACATTGTTTTAATATTAGAAAACCAAATGCTTCCAGGAACAAGATAAAATATACTGACCTTGCTATTCCTATTTTAGCACTGCACTAGAAAGTCTAGGTAGTGTAAAATGTCAAAGGTAAAAATAAGATACACAGTATAGAAAAGAAGTAATGAAATCTTAATTATCTATACAGATAATCTTGAAGTGTGTATCAAGAAAAAATTTGCTATTTTTCTATCACAACCTAGAATTACTATTTTTGGCATTCTTCAGATGTAATAAATACGTTAAATAGACTAATGAAGGAACTGCCACAGGAATTCAAGACCAAATCTTTGAACCCATGGCCTTACTGTTATAGTAACAACTCTGATAACAATTTATATAGCATATGGACTAAAAACACATAAGCCAGGCATGGTGACAAATGTATAATTTACAATACCCCACAGGTTAAGGCAGCCGAATCTTGAGTTCAAAGCTAACTTGGGTTACATAACAACAGAAATGAAATGAATATTTTTACCTGGAAGTTTAAGCTTTCGACAGCAAGAATTACAGTGATGTTTGGCTCGGAAGTTTTTTATTGCATCTTCTCCTAGATTGGCAGGGCCAAAAACCATGTCACAGGATCTGCAGAATTGGTAGGTAAAAAAGGGAGCTTATTCAAGTGGACACATGGAGTTTAAAAACAACAAATAAACCTCAATGAAACGGTTAAATCTTATTACCTCTTCTCTTCAGCTTTTATCACGGACGGGTCAGTCAAGTTCTCACCCACACCTTTAAATACATAAAAAGGACAACATTTATTATGCAATTTATATAAACACTTATGCTTACATAATAAAAAGGTCTAGAGAGATTTTATAGCATTGTCCTTACATTACATTGTTAAATTATTCAAAGAAGCACTTTTCTCTCTTGCTATTTCATAACTTGATATTTCAGCACTCCACCATATTGGAGATATGCTCAAAATTATATCTCAGAGTGGGTGAGGTGGGCATGGATGTTGATATTTGACATATTTGATTACACACTGTAAAGATATGTCATTGTCATTGGTTTAATAAACAAGCTAAATGGCCAAGCAGGAGGTATAACTGTCCAGAGACTTCTGGACAGAGAGAGCTCTGGGAAGAAAAGCAGAGTACCCAGTCAGACTTGGAGGCAGGATAGGCAAAATGGAGATGAGGTAAGGAGTACAAGGAAGAACACAGTTACACACAAAAGTTCCTGGTGGTTCCCAGCAGCTGAATCAATGTATGCAGGTCTACATATGCTGCGGTCACCAGCACTAGTAAAGTGTGCTTTTTTTTTTTTTTTTTTTTGTGTGTGTGTGTTTTTGTTTTTCTCCTCAAGTTATTCTGAGCCAGGCAGCCAGCCCTGGCTTGCCACATAGATAGGTTGGATAACACAAGGTTTTATTCACTAATGAGGAACCCTGGATGTTTCAGTAAAATATCAATTAGTCAATGGCCTTTGAGTGTGGAGGTGAGACCATGCATGTGTGGAGCTGAGCCCCTGCATGTGTGGAGGTGAGCCCCTGCATGTGTGGAGGTGTGGAGCTGAGCCCCTGCATGTGTGTCTGGCACTGACATTACATGTTGAGCGTCCCCTTCACGTCTCTTTCCACTTGCTCTCTCAAGTACTGGTCTCTCTGAGGTGTCTCCCACTGTCATTTTTCTTCCTCCCTTCCTAGCAGAAGTTTGGTAATCTTGTTTAAAATGTCTATAAAGTGTACTTTTCTATTTGAAGGCTTTTAAAAAATCCTACAGAATATTTGTTCTGCCTTTTGGTCATTTATTTATTATTCTTTACCTTCAGTCTTCCCCAGAGGAATTAAAAGTTGGTTGAATCCCTTTTTAATAATCACAAATACTTAAACCCATTACAGTGAAACCCGATTAAAATGGTCCAGTTTTACAAATGGAAAATTCAGAATTAAAACATGATACCAGGGCTTATACCAGGGCTCAGCTGGCAGAGTGCCTGCCCAGCATACACAAATCTCTGGGGTCAAGTCCAGCATTGCATAAACTATGAAGGTGGCATACATCTATGTTCAAGGTCATCCTTCAACACACTGAAGTGGAGGTCAGCCTGGGATAAATAAGACCCTAGTTCACAAAAGTAAGTAACAAAATAAAAGAACAAAAAAAGCAAAGCAAAGCAAAGCAAAACAAACACCAACAACATATTTCTATTTTACAAAAGAGTTTTGAAAAACATTTAGTTTGTGTAAAGATGCATCTGCTATGCTGGATGTACAGAGTTCAGATAGGAACTTTCCGTCAGTTCTCTGTCTCCACTATGGAGATTCATTGGTCAGGTTGGCAGTTCAATAATCTCCTGGGACCCCAAATACTGCTACTTTTTACCCAACGGATTGGAAAAGACCACCAATAGTGGATAGATGGGCACTCATGTGCAAGGCCAAAAAGGAAGTCAGGACCTACAGTCCTTTTTGAAAGTAAACTCGTAGTGCTTTATTGAAATAAAATTGCACTAATTTCTAAAATAAGCCAATTTAGGAGCCCACTGACAGATGAGAGCAGCAACAGCTCTGTAGCAGCAAAAGTTAAAACTGGAGAGTTCCAGGCTAGTAAAAGGTACACAGTGAGATTCTGTCTCAAGGAAAATAAATATAAGCCGGGCAGTGGTGGTGCACGCCTTTAATCCCAGCACTTGGGAGGCAGAGGCAGGCGGATCTCTGTGAGTTTGAGGCCAGTCTGGTCTACAAGAGCTAGTTCCGCCAGCACCAAAAGCTACAGAGAAACCCTGTCTCAACCCCCCCCCCCCCAAAAAAAAGGAAAATAAATATAGATGCAATTTTTAAAAGAAGGATGGTATTAGTATAGTGCTTGCCTAGCATATTTTGAAAAATCGCATGTGAGGGGGAGGAGAAAAAGGGTTGAAAGAGTCTGGAACACTTGTAGAAGTTTCAGCATTCTACTATTAGGTGTGCTTGTGTGCTCCTTTAAGTCCTAGCACTCAGGAAGAAAAGGAAGGCCGGTAGGCAGATCTCTTGAGTTTATGTTTGTAGTTTGGGTTCCAGGTCAGCCAAGGAAACAAATCAAAGATACACTGTTAAGTCTGTCAAAACCAGAAAGACAGATAGAAAAACAGACAGACAACCAGGGCAGGGTGCTGTGGGATAATGTTTTTATATACTGTAAAGATCTGTCTCTTGTATTGGCTTAATACAACACTGACTGGCTAGTAACCAGGCAGGAAGTATAAGCAGGGCAACCAGAACAGAATTCTGGGAAGAAAGGCAGAGACAGTTACCAGCCAGATGCAGAGGAAGCAAGAGGAAGCCTTACTGAGAAAAGGCACCAAGCCACGTGGGTAGACATAGACAAAAATTATGGATTAATTTAAGCTGTAAGAGCTAGCTAACAATAAGACTGAGCTAATAGGCCAAACAGTTTATAATTAGCATAAGCCTCTGTGTATTTATTTGGGACAGAATGGCTGTGGGACCAGGCGGGACAGAAACTTCTGTCTACAACAGGGGAAAGAGTTTGAGCTTTTTCTCTTGGCAAAAGTAGCTGCCATGCAAGAAGCCAAATACCTAAAACCATCCTACTATAGGAAAGCCTATGTTAGTCACACGGACAGAGAGTGAAATCAGGTAGTGAACAGAGAGCTAAGAAATTTAATTCCAATTAAACTATTATTTTTTTAAAGATTTATTTATTATGTATTCAGTGTTCTGCTTGCATGTATCCCCGCAGGCCAGAAAAGGGCACTAGATCTCATTACATATGGTTGTGAGCACATGTGGTTGCTGAGAATTGAACTCAGGACCTTTGGAAGAGCCAGCAAAGCTCTTTACCAATGAGCCATCTCTCTAGCCCCCAATTAAACCATTATTATTAAGTTTTTTGGTACAGGGTTTTTCTTTCTAATAGTCCTCCTAGCTGCCCTGGAACTTGGTCTATTGACCTGGCTGGCCTTGAACTCAGAGATTCCACTGCCTCTGCCTCCTAAGTGCTGGAATTAAAGGCATGTGCCACCACTACCACCCAGCAAAAAAAAAAAAAAAAAAAATATTTATGCCTATGAATTACTAAAGACCAGACACCTAAGAGTATAGAAACAGAGTTCACACGAACATGCATCATCCTAGCAATTATTAAGGTAGCCAGGCTGGGTGTGGTAACACACCCCTTTAGTCCCAGCACTCAGACAGGAAAATCACAAATACTACAAATACTAGGCCAGCTTGGGATGCAATGTAAAACTCTACCTTAATAAAAGGAAAGATAACCAGATCCCATTATTTAAAATCCCAAATGTCCATGCTGCTATGACTGTTGACTTATTTTACACTTTCTATCAGCCCAAGATTTTAAATTAGCAGATTTCTATATGTGCAATATACGAATAGCTAAGGACCTACCACACAATTTCACCTAAGTAATTCAATTAATAATAAATTTACCTTGTAAGTCAAGTACCAGTAACTCCCCTCTGGTATATTCATAGGTCCAGTGGCTAAAGGCAAGCATGATCTCTTCCAGAGTGTTCGTTGGAATAATTTCATCACCATTATTATTATTGTATTTTCTAAATTCTCCAGTCATGCATTCTTCTACAGCAAACCACTGCCCTGCTGAATGGCAGTACAGCAGGAAAACCTCAAGGAACCTTATAGAAAGAATAGATATCACCAGGGGGTTGTTAGTAAGATTCTAATTGATATGCTATATAGAATACACACACACACACTCAACATCAACAATGAGTGCCAAAAAAGACTGCTACCTAGATACCACCAAGCCTCACCAAACGCAAAGCTTTACCTTGGAGAGTACGGTATGGACTTGGGTTTCATCTGATTAAAGGCAAATGTGAGCTTCTGCGCTGCTCTTTGTTGCTGTATTTCCTACAAAAGGGGAGAAATCCCTTGGTCAGTATTTGACTAAGATTTCATTTGGTTTATTCACACTTTAAAAGTTAAAATATGAAACTCAGATCGAAGTTCACGTATACTTACTCTGAGACAGAGATGTAGAACTGTATCTTCTTTATAAATACTTGACCATGTGTTAACCACCTCAGGAAGAAAAGACTTAATGATATAAAGATGCCCTGATTTCAGGATATCGTGCTCTGACCAGGTACATTGTACTTTGACTGCTCTTCGTAAACCTCCTCCCATTTCCTCTTTACTTAAAAACTCTATTTTGGCACAGAGGCCTAGTTGAGACCAAGAAGACATGCTGTTATTCAGTATACTGGGAGAACTCTCCTCCAGACGATACACTGTGACAGGCTCACCTGTAACACAAATGAACACAGTTTAAGATCAAAGTATAACTTAAAAAAATAACAAAGTAGAATAAATATTTGTAAATATCTATGGTTAACATCAAGCAAGGAACAGAACATAAAAAGTTGCAGTTTTATAAAAAGTGATAAACAACAGGAAACAAAAACAAAAATACACTTCCTTGAGAGGGGATGTAGCTCACTGGATAAAAACATTTGTTGGGCAAACTTGAGGGAGGCCCTGAGTCCAAACCCCTAAAACCCATGTACTATTTAGAACTCTGGGCTTTGTGAGCTGCCAGTCTAGTTCCAGATACGGTGAGAGACCCTTTCTTACAGAAATACTACTACTAATGATGATAATGATAATAAGGCAAAGAGTGATAGAGCATTATGTTCCAACGTTCTCCTCTGGTCTTTGTGTGCACACACCAGCATATTTTGAACTCATATTCACAGTTAAGCATGTTTTAAATTATATTTTAAAGACAAACTGTGTGGTGGAGTATGTGTACACATGAGTAAGTGGGTACCAGAAGGTAACTTTATTATGAAGCTATTGTTCCTCAGCAGCCATCTACTTTGTTTTTTGGAGCAGGATCCCTCATTGGCCTGGAGTTCAGGCTGTGCTGGCCAGAGTGCCCCAAAATGACAGCATGCTGGCATGCCTGGCTTCTTCACAGCTCTGGGGAATGAACTCTTGTCTTACTGACTAAATCATCGTCCTGAGCTCTAGAGATAATTTTTTAGAAAGCAAATAAAACTTTATATAGTTCTAGACAGGAGGTTAGAGCAGTCTGTCTCACACACGCTATGATGTCTATTTTCTTACACTTCTGCTGCCTGACAATGGATCAAGGTTTCTGAAACAGAACACAGAATGGTTTCTAATGTCTGTCCCACCCCCCACCTCACTGCAGTATACTCTACCCTTCTAGTCTGAATTAGAACACAGAATGGATTCTAATGCTACCTATTTCAATATACCGTGCCCTTCTAGTAGCAAAGAGGGTACGTGAAGCTGGTATTTCTTCACAGGAATCCTCATTTTGTCCTGACCCTTGTTCTAAGTTGTGACTAGAGACCAGTGAGGGTTGCTTCTTATTTATGTTTTGGGATTTACCTCGTGGAGGTACAGGCACGAAGGGAATACTCTGTGACAACCTCATCAGGTTATTTCTTTCCACAGCTGCATTGAAATAGAGAGAAATAATGAAAACTCAAAAGATTCAAACATCAGTAAATTTTGTTTTCAATATCACTGACCTGAATAATAGTAATTTGTATCCATAACGGGCTTAAATGGTGAAGCAAGACCTAAAATTGTAAACAAATCAGACTGTTTAAAAAGCACTTGTGCAGCATAAATTTATGCTCAGACATTCTCAAAAAATAATCTTAAATTTCTTTCATAATCTCTCCTAACAAGGGGGAAAAAAAGAAAGGTAAAAAAAAAAAGCTACTATCAAATATCACATGACCTTATTTCATTGTGGCAAAACAGTGGCCACTGTGCTCCAAACACCTGGGAAGAAGCACACACAAGATGCTCCACTCTCCAGCTCTTGAGGTAAACTACTTTCACACCTGCCACTTGAAAAGGAAAACTGTTCTGTTTCTTGCCGTTTGGGTTAGGGACAGTAACTATCTAACCATGTTAGGTGAGCTGATGTGAGACGTGAGCTTCTGGGACACGAAGACACTACAGATCAGCTTCTCCACGTCTACATTTCATGTATTCACTTACTTTGAGGATTTGACTTTTAACCATAGGAAGACGATATGGGAGAATAACAGATCTGTGATGTGCTAAGTTTTAGAATATAAATGAGAAGGAATCTACTATCTCACAGGAAATAAAGCCAACAGTTCTAACACTGTGGTAACATAAAAAGATACAGTATATACAGACACCTATACACAAACACTTGTATCTAAGTACTACAAGACAAGGTAATTAATGCTGCCTAGGTAATAAGGGCAGAAGCTACCTCACCTGGGGAAAGAAATAGCACTCTGCATGGCAGTGGATTTTTAGGGATACATTTACAAGACTATCTGAAGTGCTAATGTTCATGCTACATTTGAGAAACCCCAGGCAGTTTAATATAGAATGACTAGTTAAGAATAAAATTAGATAGGCTGTGGAGTTTTCTGAACATCACCCACCGACACTCAGTCCACAATATCTAGTTCCACAGGTCTGTGGCATTACAGATGACTCTACAGTGATTGAATATGCAACCAAGATTGCAAATTAATGAGCAAGAGCATAAGCATACCTGAAGGAGGTGAAGCTACAGAAGCAGGCAATATCAAATTGTGAAGAGCCTAATATGTCATGCAAAGAAAGGACACTGCATTTTACTGAATGACAATGGGAAAAATGTAAGCAGAGGAGTGGCTAGATCAAATCTCTCAGGAGAATTGTTCTGGTGGTAGAAGACCGACTAGCACTAAAACGACAGGCAGGAAGCCAGCCTGGGATAACTAATCTGAAAACCTATCTGGCAGGCAGTAACTACTGAATATGAGCATATGCATAAGCTATGACCCAGCAATTCCACCCATAACTAAATGGAAAGCAAATTTATGTTTACCAAACAACATGAACAAGAATGCTCACAGCAACAGAAAGCATAATGGTTACACACTGGAAGCTACTGAAATGCTTAAATAGAATGGATAAATTCAATATATTCTAATAAGAAAATACTATGAAATACTAATAATCCACAAACTACACTAATAAAATAGTACTGATGAATCTCATAACAATTACATCTCTGATTCCATTTTTACTATACTAATAAGTAAGCCACCGTGTTAGTTAGGATGGAGGCCAGAGCAAGAGCCTGGCATGTTAGCAATATTCTGGTTTTCGGGTACTGGTTAAGTGGGAAGCAGTTGTGACAGAAAAGTGGCCATCATAATTTACGGGGTGGGTCATGTGTTTGTAAACATTTATATTAAAGATGAGGGAAGAGTTTTCCAACCACCTTAGCTTTTTAAAACTTGAAGTCTAAAGTGTCTGGCCTATGATAATGTGGTAAATGCTTTAATTACGACCTTTAATTTTTCATATTTTAATCTACTACACAGACTCACCATTTAATGTTCCTCCTTCAGATGGCCTAAAGAAATATAAAAATAATATAAGCTGTGAAAAAAACCTTTGTTTTGATTATCATTTAACTTGTGATTTTGTAAGGTTATCATAGTTATTTAATGAAATATAATTAAAGGAATACAGATGTTCAGATATATATGTCTGAATACTTGCTATTTCCATACTCCATATACAGACATGTACATATTTACCTGTGTACATGTTACCAACAACTTGTATCTCAACTTTATGGCTACATAAATATTATTTTGGTGTTCAACTGATGGCTACTAGATCTTAAAAGAGTAATATTTTTATTTTATGGCTCAGTATTTGTGGAGACATTTCTAATACCGTGACAATACCAGGAAATGATTTTCTATGATTCTAGAAGTACTCCAGCAGACTGTTACAAAAAGGACTGAGGCATCATTTTGCAAGATTCAATGTCCAATGTCCAATCTATTTATTTATAACAAGTCTTGATTCCAAGTGGGAGTTCTTTGAATCCCAAAGATTCCCATGCTAAGATAGTTACAATGAAAAGGAGAGTGGGATATGACCAGGATGAATGCTAGGCTGAGTTCTCCCACTACACAGCTCCGAGACTCACTTGGGACCTAACGTTCAAGACCCAAAAGGACCCTGGAAACATGGCCTCTTCCCAATTCCCATATTCTAACTGGTTTCAAAGGTTATTTTAATTTTAGTAAGGTAAGATTTTCTTGTAAGGAATATTTTAATCCAGCTTTACCCCCTTTTCTGCTAAGTACTTGACTCAATCCACAGCACCAAAAAAGAAAAAAAAAGTTCTGTGGTTATCTTCTAAGGCTTTGGTTATAAAGACACAGTCCCAGAAGGGGATTGAATGTAGTCAAGTCTTGACCTATTAATGTCAACACAGTTTACTTTCCTCTGTGTTCACACCTACTTCAGATCTACAAGTGGAGACACTAAAATATGGATTGCTTGAAAATGGCCGTTCTTCCTCAGTAGTACTTATCTGGGTGTACTGACAAATGGGTGTCAGTCATCCAGGGGCAAATTACCTATCAGATTGCTTTTTGTTTACTCTTCTGGCTCTGGGTTTGTCACATTCATTAGATAATTTTCAGTACCCAAGCTTTCTAAAGCATATCATATATTACTGTGCTAATCATCACAGTACACACACACATATGTTTGAGTACAATGACTGACAAGTATACTATTAATCAAGTGCTAACTAAAGTCTCCAGATTTCAACAAATTTATTCAAGAGCAAGTTGAAATAACAGAATCAAATTATATAACTACATAGGAAGATTATAATAAAAATATTATAACGAAGATCCTCCAATTTCCTGTCTGTGAAGATGGGAAATGCTGCAACAGATATCTTAAATGGAGTATAAAACAGGTTAAGACAGAGAAGAACAAATATAGTATTCATTAACTCATATTTTTCAGGCCATTAAGACTTACTTACATTTCTCTGTTTGATGGTCTATCTCGTAACCAATCCTTTAGTCAAAAACAAACACAAAAACTTAATTGAAATATAGAAACAGTTTTCTAGAATCAATGTTAACTAATATATTTCTTAATATTCTTTAAAAATGATGGCTTGAGAACTTAATATGAAGTCCTTGTTTCATACAACTTATAACCACAAAGGGGAATAAGTAATTCAGGAACGTTATTTTTCACAGAGCTGTGTTTGTGTCTCTCTGTGCACCCATGTAGGTATCCTCCTTTATCCCATGCTTGGTTTTACATGCGAGCTGGTATCTTTGTTTCTGACGGCAACCTTATTTTCTGAGCATGCCTCTGATTCTAAAAATAATCTATGCTTCTTACCAAGAAAACATCAAGTATAAGCAGAATTAAAATCACACCAACTAAATATGAATAAAATGACAGAAACACAAGTATTAAGACACAGCAGCCATTTTGCACACCACACCCATTCACATGGTTTCTACTCAGCAAACTTAGTTGTTATGGTCTAGATATTTAACTTCCCTCACTGAGATTAATATTTTCTGAATTTGAGTTTTTATATAGTTCATCAATTTAGAAAATTCCAATTCATTCACATTTCTTCAAATTCTACTTTCTCATGGCCAATTAGATGTAGTTGCATTCTGGCCTTAGTAATTCTCTCTTTATAGAGTTCCTCACCTGTTACCCAAAAGAAACATTTGGTCTTTAATCTTGACAAAATATTAGTGCGTAGTCAGGTTGGTCTGGAATTTGCTACGTAGCAAGTCTGGCCTTAAATATGCCCCCTCTGTTCTCTGTCCCCAGGTACTAGGGTTATTATGCCTGCATTATTTCCCCCTCTTTTTCTGGTTTTGTGTGACGGGGTCTCATGGTGCGTCTCTGGTTGATCTGGAACTTATTTTGTAGACCAGGCTGGCCCTGACCTTCCAGACCTGCCTATGCTAGGATTAAAGATGTGTTGCCATGTCTGGTGAGTATTTTCTTCCTTTCTACATATTTTTCAAGTTGCTAATATTTTTTAATAGTATCTTTTTCTTGGCTAATGTTTTATTATTATAATCCATTATTCTTTTTTTAATTGTTAGTCTAATAAAATCTCTGTAGCTAGGGAAATCATTTTAATAGATGATTCTACAATAGATATTCTACAGTTTAGATTCAATATAGACTCCTAGAGAGCAGTATTTGTCACAGTGAAATTTTACAAATTCCTTTTCCTAATGAAACAACTACTTTGTTTTGATTTTGAGACAAGGTCACACTATGTAGTTCAGGCTGGCCTCAAACTTGAGATCATCTGCCTCCATCTGTGGATTATTGAGGTTACAGCTCTGGGATTGTAGATGTGTACCAAAAATACTGTCCTTAATAACTTGGGGGTTTTTATTTTTCCCAGTTTTGCAAGACAGGGTTTCTCTGTATAGCAATCCTGGCTGTCCTAGAACTAGCGCTTGTAGACCAGGCTGGCCCTGAATTCAGAGATCCTCCTGCTGCTGCTTCCAAGTGCTGGGATTAAAGGATTGCACCTAGACTTAATAACTTGATTTTTAACAACAGAACCAATTGTAAGTTACTGCTCTATGGATTATAACTGTGTGAGCATCTATTTCTAGATACTCATTTGCCTTCACCCAAGCTAGCAGTCTTAGTTGTCATCTGTTTTAGGAAATTTTACAAAAACCAAACATCACCAAAGGTGGTTGGGAATGAATTCATTTAACTATCTTCAATTCAAACAGGAGGCCTTCCTTTTCTTCTGTGTAAAATTTCTGAGTGTTCTGCATGGAGGAGACTGAGGTCCGTTTTCTAAGGAAAACTGTTTTGAAAGTTTGATATAATCACCCATAAAACACTTATCGCAACTTTTAAATGTTCATTAGTAAGTGCATGTTCCTGTCAATATGCTACTTAATTGAAATATACAAACCGGCAACAAAGCAGCTTTGGAATCTACTTCTGGAGAGTCTTCTGTAGATGTTCTTCTACTATTGCTTTCTGTTACAAGAAATTAAAAAGACATAGATGAGCAATTACACCTTTTTTCCCTCTTTCCCTCTCTCCCTCCATCCCTCCCTCCCTTCCTTTCTTTTTAAAATTACAAGACAAGGTTTCTCTGTGTAGCCTTGGCTTTTCTAAACTCTGTAATCCAGATTGGCCTCAAACTTATAAAGTTCATAAAGTACACTGGCTTCTGCCTCCCAAGTGCTGGAATTAAAAGTATATGCCACCATTGTCCAGCTAAACAACTAAACTTTTAAGTATTCATAAAAAAGGAAAGTATTAACAAAACAAAGTGTTTCTGAGGGTGTAACCTTCAAAGCTGGTTTCTTATTTCCAACAAAGCCAAACCCAAGAGTTATAAGACACCTATAAATCCGCAAGCTATAAAACTTATTAAAAGAAAATTATTTTATTGTGAAAACCCAGTAAGAAGCAAAATGTATTTTAAACACAAGCCCTCTCCTATTTTCAAACCACCCCTACCGACATCCAGGTCACTATTTTCTTGTGCATCTTTCTCAATAGTGTTTTGGTCAGTGTATGTATGTGTCATATAGCCCCTGGCACTTCACAAAAACAGCAGCATAACACTTACTCTGAGGGTGCCTTTTTTTCTTTAAACGTTTAGAACCCATAATAAGATCCTATCCCATAAAACCAAAAATAAAGTAATAGTTGAAAAAAAAGGTAAAAAAAAAAGTTGAAACATATTACAAAATGCATAGCAAAACTTTCTTTAAAAACCTGAAAATAACAGGATATATGCTATTCTGAGAAATTTAGCTAAGTATCAAAGAATTTAGGATGCCAATTTAAATAAACTCATGGCATGATTATATTGGTGGGAAAGGGTGAAGACATGTGTATGTGTTCAATCTGGAAATGGTGGGGAAAGTTTAGTCTCCACTTAGTTAAGAAAGCTAAGAGCTAGGTACAGTAGTGTGTATAATCTCAGCTCTTTTGAGGCTATCCTGCCCTAGATCTATATAGCGAGTTCTAAGACAGCCAGGGCCACATAGAGAGGCCCTGCCACTAAATAAACAAACAAATAAATAGCAAGCAAAGAAATGTGACCTAAAAATGAAATAAGCAGATAGAGCAATATAATTGTGTTACTTTTAGAAACAATACACGTTATCTTAAAAGTACTGACAGTTCCACCTTTTCCTTGATAATCACTTCTATTGTTTCTTTTATGGGCCTTATTTCCAGGACTATAATATAAAATACAAACAGCTATAATTTCTATCTTAGTTCTCAATAGGACATGGAATATGAGATTTGTGGTAAGTTTTTACAGATAACTTTTATTATAATTAAAGAACTCCATTCTTACATTACTATGTAAGTTTTATTCATGAGCAGATGGTTCAACTTTATCAAATGCCTTTTCTGTAGCTGTTGACATGATTTTTAGGTTTGAATTTGCTATCACTCACTATAGTAATTATGTATGATGTTGCCAAGCCAACCTGAACTCCTACAGTAATATATACTGCTGAACTCAGTGTACTGAAACAGATTAAAAGAAGTGATTGTGAGGGGACAAGGAAGCACTGATTTTAAAAGGAAAATGTCACAACTAATCAGCATTTATATAAAAACAAAGCCAGGTATGGTGGTATGCACTTAAGAGTACCAGCAACTAGGGACACTGAGGTAGGAGGACCACTTTAAGTTGGAAACAGCCTGGGCTACAGTGAAGACTGATCTCAAAAACAAGGCATGATGACACATCTGTAATCCCTGCAATAGGAGGCTGAGGTAGAAGAAGCAGGAATTCAAGGACACCCTGAGCTACACAGGGTGTTTGAGGGAGTTTTGATTTCCTGTCTCAAACAAACAAACAAACAAACAACAAGAAAAAATACTTAATATGGAAATATCACCATGATACAAGAAATAAAAAATTAGTAGTACAAAAGAACAATATGCTATCTATTGTATACATTATAGAAAATAGGAAAACAAACATTGTTATAAAGGATTGCATAAAGACTAGCAGACACACCCAATCTCTGATACTGTGATACAATGTAATCATTTACTAAGTTCATGCAGGGAAGGAGAGGAGTAGGGGAAAGGGAAAGTGGATTGAGGGCACCGGATGGTAGAGATGGGGAAAGGACAGAGACAGAGGGCAAGGAAAGAGATATCTTTTATTTTTTTTAAATATTTATTTATTATATATACAATATTCTGTCTGTGTGTGTGCCTGCACGCCAGAAGAGGGCACCAGACCTCATTACAGATGNTACAATATTCTGTCTGTGTGTGTGCCTGCACGCCAGAAGAGGGCACCAGACCCCATTACAGATGATTGTGAGCCACCATGTGGTTGCTGGGAATTGAACTCAGGACCTTTGGAAGAGCAGGCAATGCTCTTAACCTCTGAGCCATCTCTCCAGCCCGGAAAGAGATATCTTGATTGAAGGAGTCATTATGGGGCTAGCAAGAAACCTAGCACTGGAGAAATTTCCAGAAACCCACAGGATGACCCCAGCTAAGACCCTAAGCAATTGTAGAGAGGGTGTCCGAACTGGCCTCGTCCTGTAGTCAGAGTAATGACTACCTTAAAAGTCATCACAGAACCTTCATCAAGCAAATGATAGAAGCAGATTCAGAGAGCCACAGTGGAGCACTGGGCTGAGCTCCCAGAGTCCAGTCCAAGAGAGAGAGAAATGATAATATAAGCAAAGAGGTCAAGACCACAATGGGGACACCCACTGAAACAGTTTATCTGAACTAATGGGAGCTCACTGGAACCATCATAGGACCAAATATGGGTGACAGTTGTATGGCTGGGGCAGACTGTGGGGTCACAGGCAGTGAGACCAGGATTTATCCCTACTGCTTGTACTGGCTTTCTGGAATCCATTATCTTTGGAGGCTCAGCCTAAGGGGAGGGCCTTGTCCTGCCTCAAAGCAATGTGCTAGATTTTGTTGACTTCTCATGGGAAACCTTACCCTCTCTGAGGAATGGACGGGGTGGGGTGTGGGGGGGGGTGAAGTAGAGGGGGAGGAGATAGAGGGAGCAGGAGAGGAGAGGGAGTGGGAATTGGGATTGGTATGTAAAATGAGAAAAGCTTTTTCAAAAATTACATAATTAAGATTAATAAAATCAAAATGCTTATGCTTTACTAAGTCACTATTTTGTGTTGGTCTAAATTTGTAGCTATCCATGAGTGAATATGACCTTCAGGCCACAAAATGGATATATTAGCTAAATGCAGACAAAAATAATAGTGGTTCCATGTATGGTTGGAATAAGAAGTAGTAATTTTTCAAACTGTATTTTAATATCAACAGAATTTAACCAAGTTGAAATACAAAAATAAATTTGTTGAAAAACTGATGCTACCTGTAAATGTTAAAATTAGATGTAAAAGATTTTTGAATTTCATCTTTTCTTTTCTGACTAAATAATCATATATATATATCATATTCATATGTGTTTGTGTGTGAGAGAGAAAATGTAAGAATTACATTACTCATTTCCAAGGTCACACTAACTATTGTTGACCAGGATTTTCATCTTTTGACTCACATACAATTTATTACTAAGGTACTTGGTAAATATATACTTAAAGCCGGGCGGTGGTGGCACACGCCTTTAATCCCAGCACTCGAGAGGCAGACGGATCTCTGTGAGTTCGAGGCCAGCCTGGGCTACAAGAGCTAGTTCCAGGACAGGCTCCAAAGCTACAGAGAAACCCTGTCTCGAAAAACCAATATATATATATATATACTTAAAGCTTAGTATGTTTGCTAAAAGAATTCATAAGATCAAAACACTCACCTTGTTCTGCATGAAGAGATGCAGAAGTCTTATGACACTCACTATATCCAGCAGCACCCACATGTTTCAAAGTGTTTTCAGAAGGAGTATCATTCTGTATAGATTATATAGATATGTGAGTGTACATATAAGCATAAATATATATGCACATAAATTTTTAAAAACAATTGAACTTCAAGTCATTGTCCTGCATAGAAATTCTTTTGATCTAACTCTATGCTTTATTCTACTCGAGCATTAAAAAATATATAACACAGATCTGGTTACATGAATGTGAATCTCAAAAACTATCTGAAAACTACCTACTCATCTGAATGAATCCTTTTAATACTAATATACATTCTCAAGATGTTTGGAAAAATATAGAAAACTGTGGGAACACTGAAAACAAAACCATTATTACTTTATAAAGGAAAAAGTATTGCCACATGGTTTGATACATACTGCTTTGTAGGAGCTATGTGTCAAACCTTAATTTCTCTTTGAATTTGTTCTGACACATGGATACAATATTTCAGTGTCTCTGAAGCTTTCATTTTGTTTGTAATATTCATACATTTAAAAAGGCTTGTTGCCTTTCTGGCCTAATAATTATTTTGCATTTTTATTAAAATTTTCTATGATTAGACTTTCTATATTTAGCTCTAAGATTCATCCACATTTATAAAAATCATGATGACATAGTCTTTTCAAATTTTTACCCAATTCTCCAATTTATACTAACAAAGCACTTCCTTTATTAACTTCAAATTCAGCCTTCCTACTAAATTGTTTTGTTCAAGGTTTACTTCAACAACAATGATATTTAATGAAATAGTTTTGTTTTAACTATTCTAACTACAAAATATTTTAGTATCTAATAGTTACTTCACTTTGACTTTCTTCTTTCCAAACAAACTAATGAATCCCATTAAACAATTAGGGAGAGGCATCACACCACTTTCTTTTTAAGTTTTATTTTTATTAATGTCTGTCTGTGTGCATGCCATATACACATGGTGCACACAAAGGCCCGAAAAAAAACAAAACATGGGATCTCCTTGAGCTGACTGATGTAGGTTCCAGGACCCAAATTCATATCATTTGGGAGAGCAGCAAGTGCTCCTAACCAATGAGTAATCTCTCTAGCCCCACACTGTTTACTTTATCAACTCTAAGAATATTAGACAACCTTTAAAGTATTTCTGAACCTTGGTCACCAAAACATTACTGCTGCAAATTATTACCTCATAAAAACTAAGCATCTATATCACCATGCACAAAACTCAAGTCCAAGTGGATTAAAGACCTCAATATCAGTCTGAACACACTGAACCTGATAGAAGAGAAAGTGGGAAGTACTCTTCAACACGTGGGCACAGGAGACCACTTCCTACGTATAACCCCAGCAGCACAGACAGTAAGGGCCTCATTGAATAAATGGGCTTTATTTACTGAGAAGCTTCTGTAAAGCAAAGGACACTGTTGCTAAGACAGAAAGGCAACCCACTGACTGGGAGAAAATCTTCACCAATCCCGCAACTGACAAAGGTCTAATCTCCAAAATATATAAAGAACTCAAGAAACTAGACCGTAAAAGGCTAATCAACCCAATTATAAAATGGGGCACTGAGCTGAACAGAGATCTCTCAACAGAAG